AAAATAAAAAAAAAAAAAAAAAAAAGACCAGTCTGGGCTACAACGTGAGCTCCAGGCCAGTCTGAACAGCATATCGAGACCCTGTCTCAAAAAACAGTAATAATGATAATAAAATTTTAAACAATGAAATGAGTACAAATGCCAATCTGTCTCAAGGCAAACTAATACTATTTTTTCAGAAAGGACTACACACACCAAATGCAAAAATGAAACTTGCTTTTCACTTTGTTCCTGTGGGTGCTTTGGGTGCTTGTCCTACTGACTCCTCAGGAATATGGATTTTTTTTCCCCCTCCAGACAGGGTTTCACTATGTCGTCCAGGCTGGCCTAGAGATCACTATGTAGCCCAGCCTGGCCTCAAAGTCCTCGCAATTTCCTCCTGTCTCAGCCTCCAAATAGTAGGATCACAGGTGTGCACCACCATTCCCAGAAATGAAAACAGAGATTCTGAAAAAAGGAAACCTTCTATTGGAATAGAGTTCTCTCTCTTTAGTTGGGCCCCTGGATTTCTATCACACTGGCAGCCTGAGGATTGGTTTTGAGCACTGTATGGACAAGTTAGTGACAGAGACCTTGTCTCAAAATCTAAAATGTAAAACTAAGAGTTACTTAACAAGTTCCCATCTGAAAACAAACAAATGAAATTAAAATTAAAAAGACTGGTGATATAGCAGATTGTGGAAGTCCTTGGGCTCACATCTCCAGTAACATGTGTGTGCGAATGTGCGCAAACACACGCAAACACACACACACACACACACACACACACACACAAAACCAAACTAAAACACAACAAAAACATCAAACTCAGTAAAAGGACCAAGGGCCGGTGTGATAGCTCAGCGGGCTAAGCACCTGCTTTGGCAAGTGCAAGGACCAGAATTTGATCCCTGGTCCTGGGGTGCACTGAGTCAGCGACCAAGTGCAGGCATGGTGGCACATGCCTGTGATCCCAGCACTGGAAAAGGCTGAAAACAGGAAGATCCCTACAAGTCCAGGCTGCATGGTGAGACTTTGTACCAACTACATAAGGGGGAGGGGGCAAAAAAAAGAAGACAGGGAGGGAGTGTTGAAAAGGAGCTGAGACTTGGTATTTGTGGCAGCTCCCTGCAGTGAGTGTGCTTACTGTGTGCAGCAGGATGTACTAATAAAAAGAAAAAATGAAAAAGAAAAAAACAAGCCCATTCTAGTAACAACTCTGTATTTAAAATAATTCACATAAGAAAAATGCTCACTTCATTAAAAAAAATAATAATTGTAACGTAAAGCTTTACCTGGTAAGAGAGAGCCTCGTATTTCAAAGGTAACCTGAGAAGGCGTCATTCTGATGGATTTTAGGATTCTTGCTAGGAAAAAAAGAAAGTTGTCACTTTGAGTACAGGAAGATACTAGCATCAGATGGTTACCACTTACAAACCATGTTAAACCAAGAGCTATGTTCATATTTTTAAAAAGTTACAGTACTTACAAAAACAACAGTATTTAATGTCTATGCAACTTTATGCTGGATGTGCTTTTTTAAAAAATGAGAATAATAAGAATAAAAAGGTGTCAGGCATGTGCACATCTGTAATCCCAGTGCTCAAAAGGCCGAGGCAGGAGAATCACCCTGAATTTGAGGCCAGCTTGGATTACATAGTAAGGTCAAGACCAGCATGGACCAGATATGCAATGCTGTCTCGAAAAACAACAACAACAAAAAAAAAAACTTTAAGTAAGGAAAGTTGAGTGTGGTGATGCACACTTGTAATCCCAAGCGCCTGGGAGGCTAGGGCAGGCTTACCAGAAGTTTGAGGCCAGTCTAAGCTATAAAATAAGTTCAAAATCTGCAGAGCCTGTCTCAAAAAAAAAAAAAAAAGCCA